AAAAAAAAAAAAAAAAAAAAACAAACCCCTTTTTCCATGTTTAAGCCTTTTATTTTCGAAAATGGAGTTTTGAGCATGCTATCAAATTGTTTTAGTATATTAAGCCTATGTTAGGTTATTTTCAGGCCTGATATTATTGAGTTATATGCCTTAAGTTTTGGTTAAAAATGGAGTCATTTACCTTAGTAATAAGTGAGAAAAATGGGATTTTTGATAAATTATTTTAGCCCAATTTTATGTTTAAAAAAATGTGGTATTATGGACTCCAAATAAATTTTTAAGAGTTGGTCGTAAGATGTGCCGTTGGGTCGAGGAAGTTGTTGGGAGAAACAGAAGCATGGTGTCAGGTCACGACAGCCGGGATGCTGCCAGGCCACTGTCGCAAGCACGCAGGCGCACCCGTAAGCAGGCGGGCAGCCGGCGCTTGCCGCATACGTCGTGCGCCGCGAGGCCCGTGTGATAGCAGCCTGTGCGACGCCTTACTGCCGACCCTACCGTGCGAAGAAGACTCCTTCGACCTACAAAGCCCCGTGTCCCGTCCTTTGCGGTCAACTCTTTTTCCAAGCCCGAACCAATTTTTAATAGTTGCGAAAGCCCTTTTAAAATGTCCCAAGCTTTAAGATGATTTTTTTTTAGTCGAGGCTAATTATAGATATTTAAAAAGTTAATTCCGAGTATTTTTAGAGTTTCCGAGTCGAGATTCCAACATCTAAGAAAGAGCAGAAAGTCTATAAGTCATGAACCTTAAGCTAGAATACCATTCAACTGGTAAATTTAATTTACCAAATCAGAACTAGTTATTTATTCGAATATCGCTTAATTCATGCAGATTTCGAGGAGTCGAGCCCTTGAGTTTCCACATAAGCGACAACTCATCTCAGTAGCAGATCCAGAGTATCCAGGTGGGGAAGTCTATCTAGTATATCATGCTGATTAAACATTGTGGTATTTTTGTTTGTCGTTATTTGCATGAATTATGTATTTCTAGTTTTCAGTTATATACCGGACGATTGATCACGTACGGTATGAACATCTATTTTTGTAGTTGTTCCCAGATCAGACATGTCGTATGCTAGCTAGTACCCCGAGGAGCGGTACTCCGAAGGGCCAAGTAGACCACCAGTGCACCTGAGGGGCAGTACTCTGATGGTTGCTAAAATTTTCAGCTGCACCTTAGTACTGCTTTGGTTGCTAGAACTCTTTTTGAAACCACCATTTGTGTATTATATCTGCTTACAACGGTATCTTTTGTTTAATTCGAATGTCCATACTATATAGACTCCAGATGAGCCCGTTGATTATTATTATGCTCACCCGCCACACCAACCTTTCAGTTTAAGCAGCTGGATTGGCGGTACTGGAGGCAGGGCAGTGTGGTCAATAGTTTATTATTATTCATTTATTTATTTCAGACATTGCAGTTCTTTTCAGTATTATAGTTTCCATGTCGAGACATTGGATTTTAAGATGATTGCATGTTTGATTTGAGGATTATGAAATTTAGTATTTTGAAACCTAATGCATTTCTGAGTTATTGCATGTCTCCAGTCAATTTGAGAGTTAGAGTTTTCAGAAAATAAATAGTTTTATGAGTAACGACCCAAGAAAAAGGATTTTCAGATTTTTGAAAAGTTTAAAAATGACTTGAAATTGTTATTATTTTCATAAAATCAGAAGTGGGCGTTACATCATGTTTTCTCCTCTCACCTTCATTAAAGCCCATCCCCTCTCCTTGAATAAAAAATACCCCAAGTTTTGGCTTTTGTGGTTTCAAAGTTTTAGAATATGTAGGCCTATTCATTAACACTGTGGTATGACTATATTGTGTATTCATATAAATTTCAATGGCAAGTTTGTTAATGAGATATATTCGGTTAGACAAAAGATTAATTACTTAAAATATTATATTATATATTTTGAAAATTTCAGTTAGATAAATATAATTATATTAATTAGTTTGTTAGGAATGTAATTATATGAAAGTTAAGATAAAATCAAATGTACCCAACAAAACTACTTGTGGTCTTTTTTTTTTTTTAAATGTTTGAATTTAAAAATCTAGTAACCAGATTTAGATTATATCACGTAATGAAAAAATAAATGACAAGCATTTAGTAAAAGATAAATCAATAATATTTATCACTTAGATAATAAATAATAAACATTTACAGGTAAGAAAAAAATAAAAAATAATATATTAAAAATATAACTTAGAATTTCAAATAAAGTAAAAGGGGGGATAACTCATTTTTTTTTAAAAAAAAATCTAAATGTTTAATATATTGGTAAGTATTTCGTAAGAATAATCATACCATTTTAATTTCAAATAAATTGGTAACTTTGCTAGAGAAATAATTTCGACTAGACTAATGATTAGTTAGTTAAGATATCATATTAATTATATCATAAAAAATTCAGTTAGATAATGTAGATAAAAAAATATAACATTAATTTGTTTGTTAGGAACTAGTGCGTATCCCGTGCGATGCACGAGTATATAAATTTGGAGAATATTATAATTTGACATGCATTAGGATATATGAGAGTTTAATACATATGAACATTATTCATCATAAATGTTCGTCACCAAAAAAAATTATATTATTAAAATTTTTTTGTCACAACATTATGAATTTGATTATTGGGTAATTACTCGTTGTGAGGAGCACGGGCCGACTGGGGCCGGATGCAGGCTGCACAAAGGGCTGCGGAAACTGGGTTTCACTCTACTGGGCTCCCTTGTTGGGCTTCTTTCCTGGGCTGCGGATGCTGATTGTTGTCGCCAAAAAAATTGCCCCACGCTTGGACAACTTTTCTAATTTCCAACTATATTATAAATTATATTTATTTCAAGTTTATCTTTTTCATTCCTATTTTATGTAGATAGCTATTTTACATTCTGAGGTATACTAATAAAGTATATTTTTAGTTTGAATCGTGTCACTTCCTTAATAGTGAGTTCAATCATTTATAGATAGAAACATAATTTAATGATTCCTTGATTCCTTCTAATTTCTCTCCCTTCTCACTTTTTGATATTCTATATTTCACAATTTTCTCCAAATAAAACAAAAATTACATACAACAATTATTAGGTTGACCATCAAACAAATCAAAAATTTGGCATAGCATCGAAGATAGTTTAAAACATTAAGTCAAATCATTAAATGCATCCCTAACAATGTGGAATTTGTTCAATTACAAAATAAAGTTGATGTTGTGGAAATTGTTCAATAGGTCGATAAGTTTTAAAATTTAAAAATAAAATCGTAGAAAAAATAATATTTATCACTTAGATAATAAATAATAAATATTTACATGTAAGAAAAAAATAAATAATGATATATTTAAAAATATAACTTCGAATTTCAAATAAAGTAAAAGGAGTGATAACTCATTTTTGTAAAAAATGTTTCTAAATGTTTAATATATTGGTAAGTATCTTCGTAAGAACAATCATACCATTTTAATTTCAACAAAATTAGCAAGTTTGTTATAGAGATAAATCTAGTTAGATAAATGATTAATTAGTTAAGATATTATATTAATTACATCATAAAAAAATCAGTCAGATAATGTAGATAAAAAATATAAATTAATTAGTTTGTTAGGAATGTGACTATATGAAAATCAAGATCAAATGAAATTTATCCAAAATAATCTATTTAGGATATTTTTCTTTAAATGTTTGAATTTAATTTCTTTCAAAAAAAAAAATGAAAAAGAATCATGGGCGGGATTCTCCCAAAAATTATAGTTTAATTTTGGTTCATATTATTGTATATAATTATTGATTTAGAGTTTGTAAGTAAATTTCGTGTATAGTAAAAATGATGTCTAATTGGATATGAAAGTGATTTTGAATATATTACCAGAAATTATTTAAAATCGAATTTCTAATAGGATGTCTAATTGGACGTGAAAGTGATTTTGAATTTATTGCAACAAATCTCTTAAAATCGGATATCCATTTAAAGAAATAACTGCCCATGTTTTTAGGAAATAGGTTTAACACAATAAAAATTTCAAATAACAAATTTTTTGAATTTCAATTTGAATCTTCAAAATAGCCACCATTTTACTAAAAAAAATACTAACAATATACACTCTGAAAATTTTGAGTGAAAAATAACATACTAAAAAGATAAATCCCTATTACTATTATCAGTAATGCTCCCCTACCCACGGTGGACACATATTAATATGACCACCGCTTATGTGGCATTCACACATTGGTGATATATTTTTTTGAACATATTAACATCACCAATGTATGCATATCACATAAGCGGTGGGCATATTAACATGTGTCCACCGTGGGTAGGGGAGCATTACTCTTACTATTATACATTTCGTATAGTAATAGATATAGATATAAAGATGAAGTTACAATAATATGTTCATTACAGTGAGTAATAATCAAGGAAATAAATAGCTCGCTAAAGTTGCCGCTATTTGAGAAATAGCTTTTTTTGGCAGCGTGCCGCTATTTGTATTATTGTGCAATTTAGCCGCTAAATTTCCGCTATAGCTCCGCTATAGCTACAGTGCCATAAACGTTTTAGCCCACTATTTAAAACCTTGGTAATAATAGATAAAACATTTATAATGTGACATCATAACCGCAGGTGAATTTAGAAAGAAGCTCAATATATGAAATAATATTATTACCATTTATACTATTGTTTACAGAATCATGTGAAGCTAAAAAAAAAATTAAAAAAAAATAGAATGACAATTAAAATCGATATTGATTTTTATGTACAATGAAGATCACTTTTTCAACTAACGTCTCTAATTTATCAATGATTTTATTGCAATTAAAAATCGTGTAAGTATTGCAAGGAAGATATGAATTGGCAATGTCAAATAAAATCAGATTCGTTATTTTCAAATTCGATATACATTAATAAAATCTGCAAGTTTTTTTGAATACGCAAAAAAATCAAACAGATTGACCAGAATCTATAATCTATTCGGAATATCCAAAAAATTATAACAGATTTCATAAAGGTCGTCTGGAACACATTGAACAGCTCCCCCGCCGTGATCCGCACGTCCCGATCCGAGGACGTGTCCCTCAGCTCCGAGTCGCACGTCGGCGGCGTGAAAGCCGACCTGATCGCGTGGAACTCCTCCAACGTGATGCACCCGTCGTCGTCGCGGTCGACCTCCACGAGCATCAGTCGGAGCTCCTCCCTGCTTGGCCGCTCTACCCCCAACCCGCACAGCAGCGCCTCCACCTCCTCCTTCTGGATCTTCTCGTTGTCGTCCGCGTCGATCATGCCTTCTTGAGCTCGAGGTACATGTCGGCGGAGATCTCGGACCATTCTTCGGCGGAGCTGGAGGGGAGGACGGTGGTCGGCGTGCCAAGCCGCCGAAGGCAGTTTTTCTAGTTATGCTACACGATCTAACTTGTAAGACAATATCTTTATGCAGCACCAATAAATTTTTCAAAAGCAAAAATACTAATACTTTTCACGCAAACCAAACAACCCAATAAAATATTGCTTTTGCCCAGTAAAAAGTTTCAGATTGAAGCGAATAAATTATAGGAAAAGAAAAACAATCAGATATTTATAATCTTTCGCCCTTCTTTTTGTATACGTCCACGAAAGAGGCCGTGGAGGAGTCGCTGGGAGGTAAAAGACGGCCGATAGGTTTCGGATCTGGAAAGATTTTTTGGGTCTGAACAGCTTGCCAGGGATGATCTTGGCGAGTTTCATGGCGGAGATGAGAATCCAACGGAAGTGAGAGAGAAGAATGCGAGGAGATAGAAGGAGGATGTGGAAAGTTGGGGTTTAAGGGAAAAAGAGGAAGGAGAAACTGTTAAATGCTGGGAGAGGAAGTTTCGTAGAGAGAGTGATGATTTTTAGAAGAGATAATCATGAATTCAATAAAAGAAATATTATATAATTAAATATGGAAACATGTCACAAATCATCCATCTTATCTTAAACTTCATTCAAATGCATTCAAATAAAAAAATGTAACAACTTCCCTAATTTCAGGGCTTGCCAGATTTTATGAAAAATAAAAATATAAAAAAAGTTACTAAAAATAGTAAGTAATTAATGCTAATTAAAATTTGACTAAGGTTGACCTGCCATTTTTGAAAAATAGTAAATCTTTTTATATATATATAGATTAATAGAATTTACTACTTTGTAATTACGGCGAAATTATTTTTATTTTTTAATTATATATAGTAATGTATATTATTGCACCTAAAATTTTTCGGATTGTCTTATCAAGACCAGGTCAGATGATCATTATGCTTACCAATATGAGCGCACGTAGCCCAAGAAGCAACACCAACAAGATCTGTCGATCTTCCCGATCGGCAGACAATTATGTCTGCCAGTGTTACATTGAATCTTCCCCAGGAAGATTGGCGATCTCTCCTGCGTATGAATACAGAATTGTCAAAGTTGATGAAGCAACCATCCAAGCTCATCCTCAGAAGTCGAATTTTGCATGGATACACGCGGTGCCACCCTAAGCTCCTAGCTGGCCCATCACATTTATTATAGTTTTACCTTTTTGTGTATAAATATGCCCAAGGAAAACAAACAACGACAACAAACAGAAAAAAAAAAAAAAAAACATAGTCCTATATAACAAAAACATACAATAAGACATTGAATACTCGTAAAAGTCAAATCTGGCAAGTCATATGTAGGTCAAAAGGGCTATTATGAAGAGAAAGAAGTGAGGTGAAAGGTCGAGTAGACGTTTAGCGAGCTCAAGGAACACGACCAAAGACAACTGATGGTATTTTTAGATTGAGTTATGCTAGGGGGGACCAGATGATATGGGATACCATATCAGGTCGTGCACAACTTAAAGAGCGACCTGACTGAACCGGGCGAATCGACAAGTCGGCCTATGATCGAAGACACCAGGTGTCGAAGAGTCACCATCTCGGCGATGACTTCACAGGTAAGAGAGTTCATCAACAGGTCGAGTTAGAGCTCTCGTCTAGCGTAATAGAAACTCGACCGGTAGACAGGCAAGTCGATGGTGCAACCTAAGAGGCAAAGTCCGTACTTGGGACATCATAGCAATCTGGTTCTTAGGAAGCCGAGGTGGCCACACAATTATGTTGTCTAATGAGGTAGACTAATGCGAACTCACCATAAGAGATAAGAAGGAAAATTATTAGGATAGTAACCACACGTGGATAGAACAACGTGGCCTGACAAAATCGTGCAATTTGGGCACCCTGACCAGTATGAACGGATAACTCAGATAATTGTGCAACCTAGTTGGGTAATCTTAGGCAACAAGGTATTACTCCAAAATAAAGGGGAGATGTATGATCATTCACACTCTACACACTCTTATATGCTTACAAGTTATACAATTCTTACCATTCATCATATTCTTTATACACATATTAACTTGATTGTCGGAGTCTCTACGTCGGGACCACTCCCGAAGTTGTTTTGTATGTGGTAGAACTGGTCAAGAGTGGATCAGGTAATTTGAGTTCGATCGAGATCGTTTACACACTAGTTTGATATCATGCTCCAGTCTATACCGAGGAGCTTTGAGCTATTCCACTTGAGCTGCAACTTGAATAAAATGTCATTATATCTTGCAGAGATATACACAACTCCAGTCGGCAAAAGGGTTGTCCTGTCAGAATGCTAACGTTCTTGTTGCCGAGTAGGCTGGGTTTTCTTCTTCTTGGACCAAGAAGGGTAAGAGGAGGTAGACGTATGCTAAAAAGGAAAAAAGTGTTGGTTCATGTGCCCGCTTTGAAACCGAACTCTTAGGATTGGCTTAAAAGTCGAAAGACAAGTGTCATCGGTACAAGCAACCAACACACTAAAAGGCCAACTACCCTCCACTCAAGTATGGCAATGGAGGTAATTCTTTACTCTAATAACAGAAATATGTACAACGGTGCTATCTACCATTATCTGACGTGTAAATACGGAGCCACTAATTATGTCTGTAATTCATTGCAGTTGTTCCAGGAAACAAAGTGACTTTGGGAGAGAGAGATTTCAGCATATATTGGCAACGCCACTAAGGCGGAGGACGTTGAAGTGTAATATTTTTTTCTTTATTTGATAAAGATAGGAATTCGGTTTTGAGAGATCGCCTTTATGTTCCTTTATTTTGAAAGAATTTAATTTCATTCTAAACTGTGCATTTAATGTTTATATCAATGAACAAGTTGTTATTCATAAAAATAAGCATTTTACTTTCAACATAGTTTTGCGTAGATAGGAATTTGTAGTACATTCAACATAGTTTCGCCTTTATGTATTCAATGATTTTCTGACGGTGTATAAGTTCTTTGAAATATTTATGAAGTATGAATATTTCACGATAAAGGAATGAAGATGTGTGAAAATGTTTTAGTGATGTGGTATCAATAATATATATATATATATATATATATGATTGCTACCAAAGCAATTAATAAAATTATTATGGTTTCCCTCCAATTTCGATTACAAAAGTTTCTCTTTAATATTTCTTTTTACCTTTTACATTAATACAACATATTAAGTGTATCATATTTTTTTTATATTATATTATATAATAGTTAATGCTAATATCAATTAATAATAATTCACACCAAATATAAATTATATAAGTATAAACAATTCTCTTGCAAATTTTGTTTCTTCATTATCTCTTATCTTTTATTATTTTGTATCTCATAAAACAATTTTCTCTAAGAAAATTAGCTGAATAACTTTAATAACATAGTCAAACAACTTTAGAATTTTATAAACAATTGTTCAATAATAATAATAATAATAATAATAATAATAATAATAATAATAATAATAATAATAATAATATTTTCAACTAAATTATTAGACCATGATCACTCCAAATTGTAAAGATTACATTAACCATTTTTTTTTTCAATCAATATAGTGATTCATATATACTTAAATAATTTATATTTATATTATTTTATTTTTACTAATGATCAAATTTGAAAATATTATATGTCCATTATTTAGAATTTTAATATTATATTCGCACACATTACTTATCTCTTTTATATACATATGTGCATATGCACATGATGATCACTAGTTTGATATTAAACATTTCAAAAATATACAATCAATTATTCCATTCTACTTAATCTACAATTTTATTTGCTTAGATAAATATAAATTATAGATATGATTATAGATTGATCTATCCAAAAATAATTATTTGTAAATTATAAAAAAAATATAAAATTTAAAATATTTTTTGAAATGTTAGATGAGAAGTTTTCTAACTATAATTCTTTTTTTTTTTCTTATTTAGTATTCTGATATTTTTTTTCAATTTTTATTAAGTATTAATATCATTTTCTTGTTGAAAGCTCAACAACCTTGTTATTTGTTATTTAATTTAATATATAGCGATATAATAACCTAAACTTTACGTATCTTCAATTTGATACACATATGTAGGTACAAATAATATATAATTATTCTAAAATATTAATAAGTTTATAAGGTAATATTGCATATGAAAAATGAACTCAATTATTATGTAATACTGATCTAAAAATAAATTATCACTCTAAAGTTATTTATGCAATAAAATATATACATATATAATAATAATAATATATATTTAGCATAACATAATCTAATAAAGTAATAATAAATTGTATTTAGCATAATAATAATAATAATATGTCGATCTGTCTCTACTTTGATTTATATGATTTATCATTATCTTCTAGTGATCGCACGAGGTACGAAGTAGTTAATGCATTTATATAATTACTTTCCCTTGATCGCATGGGATATTTAGTAGTTAATGTTTGTGTACGCCATATATATGCACAAAATAAAATAGAAGTATAATAATTTTTACAAAACACAAGTATATAATAATATTTTAGGGTTTTTGTGACTCAAATACATCACCCTATATGGGCCTTTCTAGACTTCTTTTGTTGGGCCATAGAATAGCTGAACCCAAAATTATTTAAAACTGACCCATTCCCGACTCAATTCTCCTCTAAGAACTATTCGAAAAAAACCACAGATTTGTGGCATGTATCATCAAGTTTTTATGTATATCAAACTCTACACATTGCTGATCCCAGACAACTCATCTCATGTGGAGCTTCGGGATAAGCTCATTAAGCTCGTTAAGTCTCGAGCCCGTGAATTTTCAGACTTTTGTTCAGTGTGTTGTCCTTTGGACTAGAGATTCTGACCTTAACTAGATATGAAGGCTTTTAAGGCTACTTGGCCTCGACTTTCATTCTCGTAAACCAACTATCTATTATGTCTTTCTTTATTATGCTTAAGGCTTAAGGCTTAAGGCTACTTGGAATTGTGTATAA